TCTACTGGAGTGGTCGACCCAGGTCAGAGCGACGAGACGCGGGTGTCGCCTTCGCTATTCGGAACGACATCGTGGGACGACTGTCCTGTATGCCGCAGGGCATCAACGATCGCCTGATGAGCCTCCGTCTGCCTCTCCGGCGGGGGGGCCAATTCGCCACCATCATCAGCGCCTATGCTCCGACCATGACCAACCCCGACGCCGTCAGAGACAAATTCTACGAGGACCTGCATGCCCTCTTGGCGACTGTGTCGAAGGCGGACAAGTTGATTGTCCTTGGTGACTTCAACGCCCGCGTCGGCACAGACCATACTGCCTGGAGAGGAGTGCTGGGTCCCCACGGTCTCCGCGGCTCAAACGACAATGGTTTGCTGCTTCTCCGCACCTGCGCAGAACAAAGCCTCATCCTGACGAACACCTTCTTCTGTCTGCCGGAGCGAGAGAAGGCCACCTGGAGGCATCCTCGGTCGCGTCAGTAGCACCTGCTGGACTATGTCCTCGCCCGAAGGCGTGACCAGCGGGACGTGCTGGTGACGAAGGCGATCGCGGGTGCTGACGGGTGGACCGACCATCGCCTCGTCATCTCGAAGATGCGTATTCGCCTACAGCCTCGCAGGAGACCTCAAGGTAAGCGACCCCCAGGTAAGCTGAATGTTGCCTTGTTATCCTTGCCCGCTCACCATCTCCATTTCAGCAATGAGCTAGCTCAACGGCTAGACAACCTCCCCATCGCCGATGCCGCCGCTGCCGAAAACGCCTCCGTGGAGTACCGCTTGTGTCAACTGCGAGACACGGTCCAGTCGACGGCGCTCACCGTCCTCGGTCGCGCTCCCCGCCAACACCAGGACTGGTTCGACGACAACGACGCCGCCATCAGAAATCTGCTTGCTGAGAAGAACCGCTTACACAAAGCCTTCGTAGATCACCCCACTGACGACAACAAAGCTGCTTTCTACCGCAGTCGCCGCCACCTCCAGCAGCGACTGCGCGAGATGCAGGACGCCTGGACTGCTCGCAAAGCTGAGGAGATCCAAGGCTACGCGGACCGCAACGAATGAAGGAACTTCTTCTCCGCGATCAAAGCTGTCTACGGTCCGCCGACAAAGGGCACTGCTCCTCTCCTCAGCGCCGACGGCAGTACTCTCCTGACTGAGAAGACGCAAATCCTTCAGCGATGGGCCGAGCATTTCCGAGGCGTCCTAAACCGCCCTTCCGCCATCTCCGACGCCGCCATCGCGCGTTTGCCGCAAGTCGAGACCAACGCGGACCTAGACCTCCCGCCATCTCTCCAGGAAACGATCAGGGCCGTGCAGCAGCTCTGCAGTGGGAAAGCACCCGGATCGGACGCAATCCCTGCTGAGGTCTACAAGCACGGAGGTCCCCAACTGATGGATCACCTGACTGCGCTCTTCCAGGAGATGTGGCGTCAAGGTGAAGTCCCGCAAGATTTCAAGGACGCAACAATCGTGCACCTATACAAGCGAAAAGGGAATCGCCAAGTCTGCGAAAATCACCGTGGCATCTCCTTGCTGAACATCGCTGGGAAGACCTTCGCTCGCATCCTTCTCAACCGCCTCAATAACCACCTGGAACAGGGCCTTCTGCCGGAAAGCCAATGCGGCTTCCGTCGTCATCGTGGAACCACGGATATGATCTTCGCCGCCCGCCAACTTCAGGAGAAGTGTCAGGAGATGCGGACCCACCTGTACTCTACCTTCGTGGACCTGATGAAAGCCTTCGACAGGGTGAATCGTGAAGGACTGTGGAAGATCATGCAGAAATTCGGCTGTCCAGAGTGATTCACTCAGATGGTGCGTCAGCTGCACGACGGTATGATGGCGCGAGTCACGGACAACGGAGCTGTCTCAGAGGCATTCGCAGTGACTAACGGAGTGAAGCAGGGATGCGTACTGGCCCCAGTTCTCTGCCATGCTGATGGACGCCTACCGCGACGAACGTCCCGGGATTCGCATCGCCTACAGGACGGACGGTCACCTGCTGAATCAACGGCGGATGCACTTCCAATCACGCGTATCCACAACAACCGTTCACGAACTTCTCTTCGCCGACGACTGCGCCCTGAACACCACCTCAGAAGAGGAGATGCAACGGAGCATGGACCTGTTCTCCGCCGCCTGCGAGAACTTCGGTCTGGTCATTAACACGCAGAAGACAGTGGTGATGCACCAACCGCCACCCAACTCAGCCACAGCCCCCAACGCGTCGCCGCAAATCAGCGTGAATGGGACCCTACTGCAAGTGGTGGAGAACTTCCCGTACCTGGGCAGTACTCTCTCCCGCACCACCAAGATTGATGACGAAGTCGCCAACAGGATCTCGAAAGCCAGTCAAGCCTTCGGCCGTCTCCAAAACAGAGTTTGGAATCGTCACGGTCTTCAAATGAACACGAAGCTGAATATGTACAAGGCCGTCATCCTGTCGACGCTACTGTACGGAGCAGAGACCTGGAAGGTGTACACGAGGCAGGCACGCCGTCTGAACCACTTCCATCTCAGTTGTCTTCGTCGCATCCTGCGGCTGAACTGGCAGGATCGCATCCCCGACACTGATGTGCTGGAACGAACGGGAATGCTCAGCATCTACTCCATGTTGAGACAAATGCAGCTGCGCTGGAGCGGCCACCTGGTGCGCATGGACGACGAGCGGCTACCCAAACGACTCTTCTACGGAGACGTCGCGACGGGTTCTCGTCGTCAAGGAGGCCCAATTCGTCGATACAAGGATACCCTGAAGTCCTCCCTGAAGCTACTGCAAATCAACCCGACCAACTGGGAAGAGCTCGCCTGCGATCGTCCGGCATGGAGGAGAACAGTGAAGACGGGCGCTGCTATCCATGGAGCCAACCGCATCGCCGCCGCCAAAGCGAAGCGCTAAGCCCGCAAATCCCAACTGCGCCCAGTCAGCAACGCTGCCGCACAACTGCTTCCAACGTGTCCTCGATGTCAACGGACATTCCGGGCTCGAATCGGCCTTGTTGGACATCTTCGGATCAACTGTACCTCTCGAACTGCACCAAACTTCATCCCCCCGCCCGCGTCATCCTCGTCCTCTCTGCCGCCGAATAACTCTGTGAATTCTTCTGCACCACCACTTCCACCCTCCTCCTCCTCCTCCTCCTCCTCTGCCTCTTCTGCCTCCTCTGCCTCCTCCTCCTCCTCCTCCTCCTCCTCCTCCTCTGCCTCCTCTGCCTCCT